AGTGCCCGGACCACCTATGTACTGCCAAAGGGGGGGGGGGAGGGGGAAGAGGGAGCTATTAGTCGACTAGTGCGTCGACTATCCGATAAGCCTTTGCTTATCGGACAGTCGACTAGTCGTTCACATCCCTAGTTCCGCACTGAGCCACGTTTGGCTTGAGAGCCATCGGTTCCAGACCCTTGGGAATCTCTGGCTTACACGACCGAGGTTTTTCTCTCTCAAAAGATATTCCTGCCACGGATATTCCTCCTGGTCTTCTCGCTGTCGGGTCAACCAAGGCAGGAGAGACAAGGGCCTCGCCAGCTAGTCCTGGGCACTCACCTCCTCCATGATGGGGTCCTTCGGGTCTTTGCTCTCCACGATACATGGCTGGACGAAATACCCCACGGCGTCATCGCACGTCCCCCCTGCCAGGATGCTGAGGTTGGGCGACGCCTTGGCATGCTGGATCCACTTCTTAATGCGGGCAAAAGACTGAAAACCACAGTGCGAGGAGGCAGCTGAGAGGCGGCCCTGCTGGTCAGCGACACCAGCCATGGGGCAGACTCACTTCCTCGCTCTCTAGAACGGCCGCAGGATGAACGAGTAGCAGGCGAGGACCTAGGCAGCGCTGGGTTCGTACCTCACTGCGAGCCCCTGTCTTTGCTTCCGGGAAGATGCCCCCTGAGCATCCCTGTACTTAGAATTTTAGGCCCTTGTGGCCAAGATCATGACGACTGTCACTGGGACAGGTGGCCTCAGCCCAGTGCCCCTGCTGTCAGGCAGCGGGGTCCAGACTTGCTGAGGAACCCACAGCCACGTCTGCTGTGCGCACTGCAGCTGGCCTGGGAGACACGGGCCCAGGAAGGTGGAGCATTGCAGGCTGGGACCTGGAGCATGCCCGGCCACATCTCTGCATTACAGACAAGTAACTGCAGTCTCAGACGGGACAAGTCCTGGCCAGGCCAGGGGCAAGGACAGAGTAGGGAGATGGACTCTTCCCCCAGCAGAGGGCTGGGGGAGCAGGCACAGCCAGGGGCAGGCTCTGTGCGCACAGGCCCCTTCCTTGCCCTGGCACTGGAGGAGAGGGAGCTGCAGCCAAAAAGTCACCTGTCTGGCCAGCTGGCTGCTCACCAATGAGTGACACACATTCAGGCAGCATCCCCCAGCTCAGCTACATCTGGAACATGGGAAAGGGAGGACGCGCCGCACTTGACGAGGCCCAGGGCGAGGGAGACTCAATACCTGGGAGGGTTTGGCTGGCTTGGGGAAGCAGCAGGAAAGCTGGCTCAGGAGATCAGAGTTAGGCAAGCCAAAGGGGAACAATGGCCCGTAGATGAGAAGGCCCGTCTGTGAACCACCGTGCTTGCCACGGCCGCCCCATTGCAGCCGGCGGCCGCCCCCCCCCGCCCCCAGCAGCACAGCTGAGTCACTGGGGCCAGGGACTGATCTTTTACCTTGTCATCGATCACCGCTGAGAAAAAGGTGCCGAAATCCTGAGCCGGCTGCGGAAAGAAGAGGAGCCGGTGACAGGGATGAGCAGGCCGCTTCGCCCCACCGCCTGCCTCTGAGCGCCAGGCAGGTAGCTCGCAAGGCAGGAGGAGGAAGAAAGAGAATCTCAATCCCCCAGGCGACACTGTCCCCTCGTTAATATCGCGCGTCCCCACACCCCTAAGAGGGAGCAGCCGGCCTTTTTCAATTATGCGGCGGCGTTAACAGTTCCTTACAATCGGGGCTCCGCAGTGCTGGCTACAAGTTAATTTCTAATCACTAAAAAGATGAGGGGGGAAGAACCAGTGGATTTCAATAGGAATTAGTAGCCAGCTTCTGCAGCCTCTAATCCCATCAGCCACCCGCTGAGCCGCAAAGCCCTTCAGCAGCCCAGCAGTTCCACTCACGTCTCCCACTTTGATCTTCCCGTGCTCCTCCAGCAGTTTCGCTTTGATCTGGGGCCACAGCACGTCGGGGGCGTAGAGGCGGGAGCAGGCCGAGCATTTCTGGCCCCCGTACTCGAAGGCCGAGCGCAGGGTCCCGCTCACCACACTGGGCACGTCGGCCGAGCTGTGCACGAAGTGGAAGTTCTTCCCGCCGCACTCTGAGGGGAGACCCGGAGCGACCCACCCCGCGCTGAGGGAGCTGGCGGCGTACAGCCGGGCCCAGGCGCCCCTCTACTTGATGGAGAGTCCCGCTCAATGCTGGAGCCGTGGGGCGGCAACAACCGGGCCTGCCCTCGGCCTACCCGGCTTGTTGGGATGCAGGGCTGATTAACCCAAGGCACATGGGAGCAATAATGTGGAAGCCACCTGCCTGGCTCTTCCCCAGCGCCCTGTGAGGTAGGTCAGAATCATCACGTCCATGTTACATCGGGGGAAACTGAGGCACAGCGAGGAGAAGTGACTCACCCAAGGTCACTGGTGGACAGGGCCGGCCTTACCATGAGGCGAACTGAGGCTGCCGCCTCAGGTGCCCCACTGTGGGGGGGCACCACTAGGACCCAGAGAATTGAGACCTTTCAAAGTTTTGGCCCAAGCAAGGGGGCAGGGAGGCGTCATTTGAGCTCCCCGCCTCAGGTGCCAACATGTCGTGGGCCGGCCCTGTTGGTGGAGCCAGAGTTTGAACCCTGCTCCCTTAGTCCTAGCTGTCCCTCCAGCCTTGTTCACCCCGGCTCTCCCCCCCTTGGTACAGAGCAAAGGGCCCATCGGCAGGCGGCGAGCAATGGGTTTGTGTGGGAGAACAGCATCTGCTGTAGGCTCCTGCAAGCGAGCCGAGAAGGGAACATGGAGGAGCGTCTCCAGCCTTACACAGTTATCCACCCAAAGAGCTGCAACAGCTCCAGCCAGCCCTAGGCACCCCCATGCTCTGCCCCAGAGAGCACTGGCAGCCCCACAACCCCCCGTCCTCAGCCCTCCACTCAGCTCCTCACGCATGTCCCACCCGAGGGGCCGCTGCTGGTTGTGCCCCACTCCAAGCTGAGGCCGGGCTGTGCCAGGCGCGAGTGGCTCTTTCCAGCATAGCAGCAGGATCCCTCAATACCTGGGCCCGTGAGCCCCGCCAGATGCGCCCTGTCAGAGCGGCTCGGGGGAATACGGGAGCACAGCTCGGCTATAGCTCACCGGTCCAGGGCAGGAAAACATCTCTGAGATGCCAAATGCAGGAGCCATCTGAGGATCTTTAGGCCGTGTGTGGGAGAGGGGCCTGTACTGCCCCACACCACTCTGCACGGCTGGGCGGACAAGGACCCCGAGCGCAGCCCCCCCATCACCATCTTTTGCCCTGCTCTAAACTCTGAGCAGCACGGAGCAGTTAAAGGAGGTGTCCCGCCCATCGAGGCTCTAGTGGAGCTGGGACTAGAACCCAGGAGCCCTGGGCTTTCAGCCCTGTGCTCCAGCCATGAAACCACATGCCCTACAAGAGCTTGGAGAAGAACCCAGGAGTCCTAACAACTCCCGATTCCCCCACTGGAGCTGGCTCCTTCCCAGGTCGGTCTCCGGGCACCTGTCGTATTTCAAATGCAGGAGCTTGGTGGGAAGCCACCTGAGATACAGCACCGCTGGGCTCAGCATGGCCCGGCAGCGGCTCAAGTCCTGCTAAGGAGCTCCCTGCAGAGCTAGGCCCAGGCATTACCTCCAGCCAGGCGCGGGAAGGTGCGGTACCGGTCCACGTTCTCCGACGCCTGCTTCCAAAGGCGCTTGAAGGTTCTGGAAGGCAAGAGGAGGCGAGTGAGACTCCGGCACCACGCTGGACGGAGCATCTGTAGAGCTGGGGAGGCCGGCTCCGGCTCTCAGGCCCCTCCAGGCTCGGGGGGGTTCCCAACCCAAAACCCCAGACCCACGAGCTGCAGAAATGCCACCTCCCCATTCCAGCCAAGGGGCCTGATCCAACCCCACTGACGCCACTGGAGACAACTCCCACTGACTTCAACAGGCTCTGAACCGCCTGGCGAGCGGAGGGGAGACAACCGAAGAACCAGAGCCCAGGCACAAGAGGACAGGCAGAGCTGGACAGACAGAGGGGAGAGAGAAGAAAGGGGCATGGAAGAAAATAAAGGAGTAGAGTGAGTGTGGCAGGAGCTTCTAGGCTTTTTTTTTCCTCCCCTTCTTCTTTCCCTCCTTTTTGGTTCAGACTGTGACAAACCCCTGAGCTGCAAAACAATAAAAATGCTAATACATTCCCACCAGGAGAGAGAGCCGCTAATACTAATTTATGAGCTTCCCACCTTTAAAGCCCAATGCTCATCAGACCATGTCATTCGGCTGGTTAGCGGGGGCCCCGGATTTTAATAGTCTGTCATCTTTGGGAGCGGCGCTCCGGGCAGGGCGAGCAGAGCCCTTCGAGGGAATAACTTACCCTGAAGTACTGGGAGACGAGCGTGCGTTTGCCAATCTACATGGACAAAGGGGAGCGCCGGCTCGAAATGCCCTTTATTAGGACGCGGAGGCCTTCAACGTGGCTACTTCACATCCCCTGAATGCCCCTCAGCCGGGCGAGCGTCAAAAACAGCCCTTCCCTCAGCAGGGCGTCTCGACCTTTCCCCTTGCGGAGGCTCCGCACCACATGCTATAAAAACTCCATGGACAGAGTGGTGGATTCAAGCTTCCAGGCCGGGTTGGGATCCTGGGGCACAGGTGTAGTTGGACTTCAGTTTTGGGGGAGACAAGGGCTGGTGGGGCTCGGGGCCAGCTCCTCACAGCACGGTCCAGGTGGGGAGTGCCACCTCCACCCCCATTCCCCTCAGCAGGCCGCCCAGCCTGCCTGGGCGAGGGTGGGGGAAGCAACCAAAAAATAGAGTTGAAAGGGGAGACTTAGTTCAGAAAGTCTGAAAATACTCAGGGGTTAGGGGCCGGGGGCAGTGAGGGGTGGAGCTCAGGTTGCAGGGAGCAGGTTTGCCAGGGGGGCTGTGGCTCCGGGGGGTGCTTTCCAAGAGCTACGCCAACCCCAGAGTCAGGTCTCCCCCGCCTGGCGGCTCTTACCTGCATGACTCCCAGCTGCGTGGCTGGGGAGAGGGGAAGGCGACACTGCGGGGGAAAATTATCGATACCCCAAGGCTTTCCGTTTGTTGCCTGGACTAGGTTAGGCCTTGACCCTGCTTTTGCAGGCCATTCACCAGTCCCGGCACCTGCCACCGGAGCCAGTCTTAGGGACGGGAGAGACGAGCAGTTACCCAGGGCTACCATTTTCAAGGGGCCGCCAACAGAGTCGGTCTTAGGGACAGGCCGACCTCCCCCCGGTTTCCATGGTTACTCCCTGACCTTTTTTTTTTTTTTTTTTGCCTGACAGGTATTTTTTTAAACCATTTGGCAACCCTATGGGTGAGCCGGGTGGTCGCCCAGGGCCGCCCACTTACGGCACGCTGCCCGTGAAGTTGAGCCCGCAGAAGTGCTCGGAGCGCATGACCGTGTCTCCGAAGACAGGCCCGTCAGCCGGGACGAACTGAATGACGTTGGGAGGGAGGCCGGCTTCCAGGAGGATCCTGTACACGGCGAAGCTGGACAGCACGGCGGTGTCACTGGGCTTCCACAGGACCACGTTTCCCTGGAGGAGTACGGCACGCTGCCCGTGAAGTTGAGCCCGCAGAAGTGCTCGGAGCGCATGACCGTGTCTCCGAAGACAGGCCCGTCAGCCGGGACGAACTGAATGACGTTGGGAGGGAGGCCGGCTTCCAGGAGGATCCTGTACACGGCGAAGCTGGACAGCACGGCGGTGTCACTGGGCTTCCACAGGACCACGTTTCCCTGGAGGAGGAACGAATCAATGGCTCACAGACGGCCCTGGGTGTAGAGTGGGGCCCCCCCTTAAGCACTGGCCCCAGGGCCCCCAAAAGCCGGTAGGGGCAGAGCAGCGAGAGGCAGCTGCGGGCCCGGGGGCTCCAGCCACGCTGGTGCGTGAGGGATATAAACACACACCCCGCCCGGGGCTTCAAGCTTAATGCTGAACTTAGCGGAAGCCTCAAGACTTTGTCCCCCTCAGGTTGAAACCAGGCAGACGCCACAACCCCCGTCTCCGGCACCGTCCCTCGGCAGCTCGCAGGTCAGCCGAGCCTGGCTCCGTAGGGGCCAGCCCCACGGTACACATGGGGGAACAGCGGCATGGAGAAGATCAATTCTAGACACTAGCACGGTGTTTCTTAAACTGTGTTCCACGGCACAGTGGTGTGCCGCAAGGCAGTCAGAGGTGTGCCGCAGAGAACAAGAGAGTTCAAAATGGCCACCCTTAATTGTTTTTTTTTTGGGGGGGGGGGGGGGCTCAACAAAAAATCCTTGGTGTGCCTCATAAAAAAATTGTTTGGTGTTCCTCGCTCTTAAAAAGTTTAAGAAACACTGCACTAGCACCTCTCGCTTTTCCCCCCTTCTTTCTACCCCCTTTCTTTTTTAAACATCTCTGAGAGGCAACAGCGGAACAGCCAAGCAAGGCTGGAACTCCAGGCCCACCTGGCTTCACAGAGCTGCCGCCGTTTTACTGCTCTGACCCACCCCAGCTTCTGCTCTTCCTCCACCCCACACAATCTAGGAGAACCCGGGTATATCCCTCCTCACTCCCTCAGCTCCCACTGCCCATGGTAGGTCTGGCTGCCAAGTCACAGCGCGCTGCACTTCCACGCTAAGAAATCCGATCTGCTCCCACAAAGCCCGCCATGCCGGCCCGATCTGACCCCAGTGCCTGTGTAACACCACCCGGCTGTGAAATCAGCAGCCTCATTAACAAGCCAATTTCACACTCTCCTAATGCAACCACTGCTCTACAGCAGGCGCTGATTAGGGTGCAGAGCACTTTCCCTGGGCAGTGTTCAGCAAGGGCCCGGCGCTAAGTCTGCCCTCTTGGACTGCCCCCAATAAATGCCTGATAGGGCAGTCTCGACCCCAGCCTCGTCAGGAATAGGTCAGGGGAGCCGGGCGCTCCGACTTACCGCCTCTGATCATAAAAGAGCAAAGGGACGGCCAAAGGCAACCCATTTAAAACAGGTTCATTAGGGTTTTGCGCCGTGCATAGCTAACAAGTGGAACTTACCCCCACAGTATGTCACTGAGGCCAAGATCTTAGCTACGGTTTCCCATTCTCCACACAGAGAGAGTCAAATAAAACCAAAAGGCGTACAAACCCTCATGCTTCAGGGCACAAGACAGTCACCACCGGATGGGGATCAGGAAGAAGCTTCCCCTACAGGCAGCTGATACCACAGTTGTCCGTTACAGCATTTCCTACCTCTGGTAACATCAACGACGGGATACTGGAATGGGGTTTATTACACCCTGCTGTTTGCATTTCCTAGCACTGGGGTGCCTGACATTGCAACCTTAGCATTCCAAGAAAGCAAGTTTCTTTACTGACTGCGGAGGGTTGGTTGCTCAGCTCCCCGGGCGCTAGCACACATGGCCGATGCATTGGGCCCAGAGCCGTTAAATCCCAAACCCCTTCAAGAAAACCCACACGCCCTCCTCCACACTCACCATCAACGCCGGAGTCCCTGCCAGGTTCCCACCAATCGCAGTGAAGTTGAAGGGTGAAACCGCTGCCACAAAGCCCTGCGTGGGGGGGAGAAATGTACGCGGTGCGCTGGGCACACCCCCAACGGAGGCTGCAGGCGCACGGAAAAGCCACCCTCTGAGGCTCATGAGGCAGAGGGAGCACTCAGCCTGCCCACAAATGCAGAACAATCAGAGATTGCTCACGCCCCGTCTCTGAGCCGCCTTCGCCTCACCTCCAGCCCTCGGTAGACCATGCTGTTGGTGCTGCTGGGCACGCTGATGGGCTGAGAGGTCTCCAGCTCCAGGGCGTACTTAGCGTTGAATCGGAAGAAATCTATCAGCTCCGCCGCTGCGTCAATTTCCGCCTGGATGACTGTTTTGCCCTGAAAGGCGAATGGGAAAGATCAGCAGCCCCTAAACACATACCCCCTGCTGCCTCCCCAAGGGCTGATGGATCCAGGGACGTGGCTTTACACTGCCCCCTACTCGCAATGCCTATGGGACGACCAGCAGTGGGCAGTACGAAAACCCGACTCTCAAACTCACACTGGCTTTATTAGCACCTGTCCCTCTCCTCTCCCCACAGCACCAGGCGAAGGCTCAGGTCCGGGACTCAAACCCGGGTCTCCCTCACGGCCCTACATGGTGCTAGCACACCAATGAGTCACAAGCCCTTTCAGACCGCATCTCAGACAGTGTAATGAACACAGACCAGGCCCTACCACCAACTGCTAGCGCTGCCGTGGCTCCATCAGCGCCCAGGAAATCCCCTTTTCTCCCTTCCGTTCCCCAAAGATCTTTTCCAACTGCCGCTCGCTCCCCCCCCTGTCGGTTTCAGCAATGCTAGGCCAGGGCAGGCCAGGCGTTAGCCATTTGCAGCTGGGTAATCCTCTTCCCCCCCAGGCCCCGCCCTTCCCTGGTTTTTACGGCGCGGTCTGATAAGCAAGTTCAGTACGTAGCCTGGGCCCTGGCTGTTCTGGGGACCTATTTCTCTCCCTCCCTGCCACATACAGCTAAGGTGACTAGAAGCATCTGAAGCAGTCAAGCTGGCAGCTTTAAAGGGCAGAGAGCACTCAGTGCAGGCTCTGGGATCTGCTTCCCTCGCTGGGTCGACACAACAGGAGCCTGCTGCGATTTAGAGAACAGAACAAGGGTTCTCTTCCACCGCCAGGTGTTTGAGGGCAGGATGCTCTTATCTCTGGCGGGGAGAGGAGGCAAAGACACCATCCATGCTCCTGAGCGGGCTCATCATAGAATCCTAGAACTGGAAAGGGCCTCAAGAGGTCATCAAGTCCATACCCTGCCCTCACAGCAGGACCAGGTACGGTCTAGATCATCCCTGACAGACGTCTGTCCAACCTGCTCTTAAATATCTCCAGTGTTGGAGACTCCACAGCCTCCCCAGGCAACGTATCCCAGTGTTTAGCCACCCTGACAGTTAGGGAGTTTTTCCTAATGTCCCACCTCAACCGCCCTTGCTGCAGTTGAAGCCCATTGCTTCTTGTCCTATCCTCAGAGGCCCAGGAGAACAATTTTTCTCCCTCCTCCTTGTAACACCCTTTTAGATACTTGAAAGCCGTTATGTCCCCTCCCGGTCTTCTCTTTTTCTAAGCTAAATAAGCCCAATTCCTTCAGCCTTGCCTCACAGCTCTAGACCTTCAATCATTTCTGTTGCTCTTCTCTGGACCCTCTCCAATTTCTCCACATCTTTCCTGAAATGTGGTGCCCAGAATCGGATTCAATACCCCAGCTGAGGCCTAATCAGCGCAGAGTCAAGCAGAACTAGTCTCTGCCGACATGTGCCTGCAGGATTCTTACAGCCCCTTCATTGCAGCACAAGGGGAAGGAGAAACCAGGCTCCCACTCGAATCAAACCTCCTAATCGCAGGTCTCACCAGCCACCCCCAATCAGCCCAATCCAAGACACCACCTTCCCACTAACCAGGCTTCCCCCATTTCACCCACTGTCTCACCCGGGCTGGCCGGGGAAGATTTGCTGCTGAAGTGACCCAAAGGTGGCACTGAAAGTGCTACCGGTGCCAATCACACCTCCTGGGTATTTCCATCCCACTCAATGGCCTCTTCTCCCTACACCTGGCGTTGAAACCACCTGCTCCGTTAAATAGATCCCCCCGCAGCTCCCTACGCCCCGGGAGTGTCCTGCTAGGTCACAGCCGGCCAACGTCCCCAGCAGAAGCAAGGATCCGAGGCTCCAGCTGCAAAGGAAGACGTCAGGCTACAGCCCCTTGGCACTCAATCACAGGACGTTCCTCGTATTTGTGCCACCTACCCCTGCCCGATCATCAAGATTTGGCCCAGCCGCTCCTCCTGCCACCTCCCCCCGGCCTCCTCAGCATGGTTTGTCCCAGCAGGTGCTCTGGGGACCATGCCGCCTGCAGCCTCACCTGCCCAATCATGGTTTTGGCCAACACTTCCGCTCGCCTCGGCCCGCTCAGCATGTCGGCCGCCTTGAAGAAGATCTGCGCCCGGTCCTGGACGGGCTTCAGGTCCCACTCCTTCCGCACCGCCAAGGCGGCATCGATTGCTTTGTTAAGCAAGTCCTGGGCATTAGAAGGAGGCATCACAGATCAGGGCTTCTCAGAGACTCCGTCCCCCGTAGCCTGGGGGCTCGCGGCAGCCTCATGGCTGAAGGCGGGAGGAACCGGCCCTAGCCCAGCTCTGTTGCAGAGGCCTCGCCAACAACAACCCAAAGACTTTACTGAAGCCATGGTTGTGAGTGTGGAATTACGCCAGGGCTCATCAGGACTCTGAACACCAGGAGTTTAAGACCCGCTCAGGCTGGCAGGTTGGACTCCTGAGGATTTTCCAGCTTCCCTGCTAATGGTTACAACATTAAATATTTACTACTACCGCGCCGTCTGCCAGGGACCTCAGAGCACGCCACAGGCATCCCTCAAGCGGCATGATCTCGGGGAGGTAGGCAAGGAATCGATACCAGGGTCTCTTCCGCCACTAGTGTCATGCCACCACCTCTGGCATGGAAGGCAGCAGTCGCCTCATTCCACACGGCCATTTTAGGGCAGGAAGTGGAGAAGGCGCCCGTGTCCAGCTGAAGCCACTAAGGAAATTTGCACTTTCCCTCCACAACAACCCAACGCAGGAGCTGGCCAGTGGGAGTGTTGGTTCAATGCCAGCTCCGAGAGCACCGGCCCCCAGCACAGGTCTAGCAGCTACCGACACGTGGCATGTGAGGTGCGGATGGATCTGGGCAGGGCACAGGCCCGGCAGCTACCGACACGTGGCATGAGGTGCGGATGGATCTGGATGGGGCAGGCCCGGCAGCTGCCGCCACGTGGCATGTGAGGTGCGGATGGATCTGGGCAGGGCACAGGCCCGGCAGCTACCGACACAAGGCATAAGGTGCGGATGGATCTGGGTGGAGCATAGTCCCGGCAGCTGCCGCCACGTGGCATGTGAGGTGCGGATGGATCTGGGCAGGGCACAGGCCCGGCAGCTACCGACACAAGGCATAAGGTGCGGATGGATCTGGGTGGAGCATAGTCCCGGCAGCTGCCGCCACGTGGCATGTGAGGTGCGGATGGATCTGGGCAGGGCACAGGCCCGGCAGCTACCGACACAAGGCATAAGGTGCGGATGGATCTGGGTGGAGCATAGTCCCGGCAGCTGCCGCCACGTGGCATGTGAGGTGCGGATGGATCTGGGCGGGGCACAGACCCGGCATCTTTTGGCACATGGCATGTGGCACTAGCCTAGCTTATACTATTGAAAGCACAGCCGCTGACTGCTGCTCTCGCTGGCAGTAGGGGAGCCAGAGGCCGCAGCGCAGGCCCGTGACAGGAGCTCAGCCTTGTTACCGCAAATCACTGTCGCTTTGCACCTGCAGGTGCTGGGAAACCTCCCCAGGTTCAGTCTGCGACCAAAGGCAGCTCGGTTTCTCCATCTCGCCATGACCCGCTGCCCTCAAGCCTGCCCCCTGCTGGATAGATGCCAGGAGGCAGATCAGGGTACCACGCTGGGCCACACTCACCTTGTCCGCGTAGCAGTACTTGGCCACCTTGTGCGAGTGATTGAAGGGCTGAAAGGAGGAGAGCCTGGGGTGAGTAATGCTGGGAAGAGCCCTCCCTCTCCCCCACAGCCTCTCCACACCCACACCCTGCAACATCTCTGTGCATGGAACAGTCGCCCATTCACACCGAGTGGCACAGGCTCAAACCCAGGGACAGAAGGCATGCGCCCATCCCCCTGCCCTGCTCCAAAGCAATTTCCATTGAACAAAGCACGTTGCACGCGAGTGTGCTCAGTGCAGATCACTGAAGCAGGACCCGGCAGCTGGGTGAAATCCCAGCAACTGTTCCTGGTTTCACCCCGAGGCCTGGGTCAGGCTTCAGTGAACCCTGTGGGGACACTCACCTGGAACGGGCTTTGGTTTGAGGCTCTGTTCCACGTTCAAAGAGCGTGGGCAGCGCCGGCCCCTCCCTGGTTCAGGGAAACAACTTAGACTGCAATTCCCAGGAGCTGCTCTTGGGCCCCAGTTAGGGAGTTTCCCCTGGGCCAGAGGCAGCACAGACATCAGGGTGAGACCAAGGGGGATGGCACATTACCCGCCGTCTGCCCACAGCGGGATTCCCGCGCCTTCCTCTGCGGCTGGGGCTGGCCACTCTCAGACACAGGGCTCAGGACTAGCTGGACTGCGGGTCTAAGCCAGTCTGGCAATTCCCACGAGGCACCTCCCCAAAGAGCCGTCCACTGGTGGCCACAAGAGCGCCCTATGGAAGTCTCAGGGCGAGCGCCCACATTTCCGTACCAGGCCGGGTTGCTACAAGGCGCTGCTCAACGAGGACGCCAGGGGAGAGAGACTTGAACGGGCTGGAGCCCTCCCTGGGAAGGGGAATGCCTGCCAGGAAGGGAACAAAGCTGCCCCACACGGGGTTTATCCCGGCTGTGTCATAGCTTCCTCCCAGCCCGGGCAGGGATGTGCTCTCCGCTGGGACTCACCGACAGCTGGTACCTGACGTCAGACGTCCACACCTCTTCTCCCCCCACCACGCACGGGATGGCCTCCGTCTTGCCCTTCAGGTCGGCTAGCGCCTATCGGGCGAGTCAGCACAAAAACGCACCAGTGAGAGCACAGCAGCTGACCGGAAGGAAGCCCCCGAGACAAGGGAGGGGTCTCCAGCCAGCCGTGGCTTTGAGCCACCTCCCTCCCCCACCACACACTCAAACCTGTGACCTCACACAGCCCTGCCACGGGCGCATGCCGGCGTCCCCCTCGAACCAACCTGCAGGTCAGCACTGAGCTCATGTCCCAGGGAAAGGGAACCCTGGATTTCTCCAGGACCAAGAGCTGTCCAAACAGAAAGCAGCCCCATGTTATGGGGGCCACTTGCAGCCTTAGGGGAGACGTAACAAGGGTGCAGTGGTGAAAGGCTCTGCCCAAGGCAGGGGTCGGGCAGGGTGTCCTACCACTTCAGCCAAAGATCCCAGGCCGCACACGTGGGGCAGAGCCCTGGTTTCTCAGCTGCCCCACTCTGCTCTGGACAGTACCTTCTGAAGGGCCGCTCGTTCCGGGCTGCCCTGCTTGAACTCCAGAATGGGCTCGTTGGTCACCTCTACTGCGGACCGGTGTTGCCATCGCAGCCTGGGAAGGAAAAGAGCAAGAGCGACGCTGAGAAACCACAGTCTTCACTCGGCCTCTCCCGCGACATCCCTGGCCAGTGAAGTGAGACTGGCTCCCAGGGAAACAAGGCTGCTGAGTACACGCCATCAACACCTTCAATTCCCTCCTTTTCCAGCTTGTTACGCAGGAGGGCACTTTATGAGCGATCAGTTTCGCTGCCTCGTTGGCTTCCCACGGGCCGTGTGTTTCACACAACTGGAGAGAGAAAAGCCCCTTTGAAAGAGAAAGGCAATGTGAATGTAAAAGCCTAAGATTTGCTTTGCGAAACCGACTACGGCCAAGTCATGGAGCAATCCCAGGCTACAACGACACTGCAAGAGCTGCCGCCGTCATGTGCACTCCGCTTCCCCCACTGGCCGTCACCAGGTCAACGGAAGGGTTCTTCCATCAACCTAGTTATGGCTACACTAGGGGTGAGGTCAACCTCACTACAGCCCCCAGCGTGTGATATTTTCACAGCCCGGAGCCATGCAGCTACGTTGATCTACAGAATTGTAGCCAAAAGCCAAGTCTTAGTTTCAAAAGCGACTCAGGCCCTTAGAACCCTGAATCTTGTTGAAAGACAACGGGGCCTAAGACAGTGTCACTTTTGAAAGTTTTGAAACAGTCAGCATCCCTGGGAAACAGGCCCTTTATACCAGTGTTTCCCCACCTGTGGTCCACAGATCCCTGGTGGTCCGTGATGGTACGGGATCCATGGAAAGTTTAAAAATAAGGATCGGGCCCATCCTTCCTTTTCCTTTTTCTCCCCCAGGGACGGGGAGAGGGCTGTGAAATGTTAAGAGATGGAAAGGGCATCCGTATGCTCAAAAAGGGTGGGAACCACTGCTTTATACTGTTCAAGTTTCCCATCAGAAGATGGCGCCATTTCGGTAACCTGGAGGCAGAGAAGGCATCTGCTTCACATGGCGAAACAGCGACTTTCCAAATAGGCGCAGGTCTCAGTCTCAGGGCCCAGGAGAAGGGCCCTTCTGCCAGTGCAAAGCAGAGCCGGGGCGGTATCCCTGCTGGCCCCACCAAATGGGGGCTTTGTTCACTGCACCTTTGCCTTTTCAGTACAGCCAGCAGCCCTATGTGCTGATCTGGGGAACAAGTCAGGGCAGGCTAGGCAGGACTTAGTGTGCTCTTCCCAGGAGGCAAAGAAGTACAAGACCTGATGTGGAGTCTAGATCCATGTCTTTCTATCTACCTTAGGCATTGCCCCATGTGCCATCATATCAAAGCATCTCAACTCTAGAATGTGTTTATCTTCACACTCCTGTGATGCAATATTATCATACCCATTTTACAGAT